TCCCCTTGAATTCCTGCTTTTGTAGAATTTTGAATCCCATTCAGCCGTGAAATAGATTGCGTTGACGATAAGGGAGAATGCACCTGCAAGAGGCTCATCAGTCTTCTTTCAGGCTCAGCCTTTAACTGCAACGAACGAAGTACAACGACGTAACTCATAACTCTGGCTTTACAACGTGTTCCTTCAGTGACAGTTTCTGAAAGGTAGTCCAAATCTCTAAAACCCCACCGCACCTCAGGGATATGTAGTGTATGTGAGCTAAAGAGATAATTCCTTGAGGGCCAAGTGGCGTTCCTCGTCCAGCGACCTCTGTGGCAAATTCCTTCTGTTCATCGCCTCAGAGGGGTCCGCTAATGAGGGAAGCATGTGTCGAGGCCCACCCCTTCACTCGATCACCCTGCAAGGGAAGTCGATCCAGCCATTTGCAATGAAATAAATATTGGACATGTCTTAGGCCGCTGAACTCAAATCTGCCCTCAGAATTTGCGGGACGATTCTCTTGAGGGAGTTACGGAACATTTATTCTCCGCTCTGTTCGCACAAGTTCGGAAGGATAACCGAATGAGCCGAGCGGCTACTGGTTGTACTGGATAAGCATATTGCTCCAGAGGAAGAAAGTCACACATTGGAAATCTCGGCACTTGCCAATGTTTGCTTTTGTTTAAAATATATAGCATATGAGCCTCGAAAACAATTCAATAGCCGTATATCCAGAAGGAACCAGAAATGGAGTGATCACTTCTTCATGATGTCAAATAATCAAAGAACCAGGAGGGCTCATATGTAGTTATGAGTTTTGAAGTAAAGCAAAAACTTGCAAGAGTCAAGGGCTCCAACATGTCACTTTGATCCTGTGGAGCAAAGCGCTTATTCACTACACCACCAGCCGCTTGGCACGATTCCGAACTTATGGCGAACAGAGCAGAGAAAAAATGGCCCTCCCTTCAGAGAATCGTTCTGGAAAGTTTCGAGGGCACATTTGATTTAGCTGCTTATGACACGTCCGTCTATGTGCATCTCATTGCAAACAGCCGGATTGATCTGTTGGCGTTCCCTTGTTAGACATCATCTTTGGGAGAGCCATTTTTTAAAGTCTTCTCTGCGCGCCCTGAAAAATACCATCACAGTACCTTTAACAGTTGCTTCGTTCACCATGCCTTGGATTTTTCCGTCCGTCGTCTTACTTATGAAGTCGTCAATGACCTGAAGATTGTCAATGAGAGAAAAACTTCTCGGACGAACAACAAAATTCTTGGTTAGATCTTGAAGTTGACGAGTTCAACCTTAGCAGCCTCCTTTGCGTGGCCAAAGTCCAGAGCTTCTACTTTAGCGCCGTACTTCTTTCTGACAGCTTGCTCATAGTCCTTTTGACTTGGAACTGATTGCTAGAAATTTCTCACCACTAATTAGGACTGATTCTTTCTGGCGGAGAAGAAAGTTTCCGTAAAGAAACTCACTCTAAGAAAAATCCATTAGCTATTCGGCTCTTCACACCATGACTTGCATTCATTATCTGACTGGAGAGCTTTGAATAATGCTCCTCGATGTCGCTGTCTCCTGAACACCACACATTGGGGCGCTAGTATGGTGAAGGAAGCCTTGAACTGACCTTTAGAGATGACGGAATCAATTTGAGATTTCGTAGAGCCTTTCGCACCCGCTCGCACCATCGCCAAAGCGAAAATCACGGAGATTGGCGACACGACTAGTGAGTCGTTGACGGGCGCATTCCGGAGCATATTAAGCCCGAAATCCATTCAACCGTTAAATACATCTTAAACAAAATGTTTATATGTGACAAACTTA